TGTTTCTTTTTTGTGGGATGTCCCGTTTATGTGTAGAAATGCACATTTGCAAAGGTGACTTGGTATGTTGGTGTATGTTGGGTATAAATGGCTCTTCTCTTGATTTTGCTCTTCTTATGTGGCTCTTGTGAAAAAATGAGTGAGTATCACTTGTCTGAGTGAATCTACACAGTCTGAGTGAATCATTGAGCATCTAGAGCTGTTCAAACTGCAGCCTTATGGAGCAGCAGCAGGACTGCTGTTCAGGTTAGTCACTAAAAGCAATGAGCACTATTTTTATTTATTTATTTATGTATTATATAAAATGTACAATATAGTACAAACATGTGTAGACCTAAATGGACCAAACACAAATGCATTAACTAGGGCTATTTAAAGTGTTTCCCAATCTTTCTCTACCAGTGACCCCTGGGCCCGGTCAAGCAGAAGTAAACAGCAAGGCCAAAAATTCAAGTTAATGCATCTGATATAAAAATGTATTCAACAGATAGCATATGTACTCTAGTTTATGAAACTTTCTGTACCATTTTTGGTTCTAAAGTTACATGTTTTAAACAGACCATGTCACATGTGCCATTTTTAGGCCTTGAACAAAAATTATTTCCCAAATTTCAAAGACCTGCAAATCCTCTTCAGGTTAACTTTCAAGCTTCATCTTTGACTAATCTACATCTCTAGGTAGTTACTTATGAAAATTAAAACTATTAGGTAAACCTGTGTTTTACAAGTTTAAAAAAAATCTTAATTTTCCCTCTGTTACAGAAAAATTATGTTTTTTTTAAGTTTTACATGTGTTAAACTTTATATTTCATGAAACTTTCTAAAAGCAATGATATTGATACTACTAAGCATTTCCTGCAGCAATCTAATGAATTCTGTTTCTATTTTTTTTTTTATTAATTATCCTATTTTTTCCCTCCGTTATTGGCAAAGGTAATGGAGGGAAAACAGCTCATATAGTAAACACTTTCTACTGCATTCTCCCTGAATTATTCCAGACATAGTGTATTGTTTTCATAATTATGGTTTTGTATTATGTTAAGGTGGTCTCTTTTTTAGCAATATCTGTAAAAATATACAATATTTTGAGAATAAACTCAGATATTAAAAAACATATGAGTGAAGTCTTTGAAATGAATGGTGAGTATAGTTTAATATCAGGAATAACTTTATGTTTCAAGTTTGCAGTTTGTTGTTTTGATTCATTATATTACCTTGACAGTGTTTGAATGGACATGATGAGCATTGGGAATTTCCTAGTCTCTATCTCGTAGTCATGTTAACCATGTGCAGGTGTGAGGTGTTGAAGCCTCTACGTCTCCCTCTTTCCTTCTTGTGGCATCTGAGACAGGGGTGACTTCTCTGTCATCTTTGCCAAGCTCTATATAGACTTGTGATATTCTGGGAGTGTCATTTAGCATTCTGTGGTGGTGCGGTTAGCCACATTTTGTTGAGAAATTTCATTTTTTAGTATTGATCATGGCCCTTACTCCTGCTGAGAAGCAGTTCATATATATAAATACTGGTTCTTAAGGAAAAGTTAATCATATAAATAAATGGATGTATTTCATCATATCTTGTGTTATTCGATCTTTGAACTGTTGATGAAGGTACATGATTTTTTTTTTTTTATTATTTAAAATGATAAAAAATTTGCTTGGAAGGACTGACATATTTTATAGAAATAGTTTCCTTTTATTTTGAAGTAATATTAAAGTATTCAGAAGAAAAAAGCTGACAAATTATGTAAAATCATGCACCTTCTACTTGCTTGCACAATTTTCCCTCTGTTACTTTTCCCTCCGTTACCATGACCTTTCTTAATAAAAAATCACATTACTCAAAAAGTAAGAGGTTTTTCAACCTAATCTTGTACCATATGGTAGAAAACTATATGAAGCAAATATTCAAACCAGTTTGTTAAGGATATGTAAGTGAGAACTGCTAGTTATCACTGTTTGGATTTATTGCCCAAAAAGTGCTGCATATTTCATTCCCTCCGTTACCGACATGAGTTTTTTAATTTTTTGTCAACAACTTGAAAGAATATCACAGGTTTAACTTTACCCTGTTGGAGTGTTAACTCTTTCCTACATTCTGATACCTTACTTATTTCAATAGTCCCTCTAGTTTCTGAATAAGAGCTATTTGAATGTAAAAAATCTGCCCGTTTCCCTCCGTGACCGCTTGACCGGACCCTACTGTTTTATCCATGGACACACCCTCCTCTTACCTGAGAAGATTGACAGGTCTGATAAGGAAAACTATTTGTTTTCTGTCTAATAAAGATGTTACAGAAGAGTAATGGTTATATAATATCTTATAGAAGCAATGAACATGACACACAGTCTAGTTTAGTGTCTCTTTTCTAAGAACCTGCAGATCCCCTGAGAATTTATTGGAGGGTTTGATTTTTAATAAAAAGGTGAGAATGACTGAAAAGCTGTTGGTTAATGCTAACAAGGGCTTAAGACTGTAATTTTATGTGTTAGAGACTTGTCTGACAAAGTCTAACAAAGCCTCAGATTAATAAAGTCTAACAATATCCCAGACATCTTAATGCCCTCAGTTAGCATCACACCCCAGAGAACGCTAATAATCTCTGCTGTATCAACGCTGTGTCGAACAATCCAGGCACAGTAATAACATCTCCATGGGTACAAGCGAGTGGCACACAGTCCACTACAAATGTTACACAGTGCATCTTTCAAGTGCACATATCAGACTTTTTTGGATTTTTTAATTTTGTTTTAATTTGGTGGGATTATAATTACCATAAATATGAATTATACTTTTACACAAATCAAGAAAAGATGAAAGTAGTTGAAGTAGAGTTCAAACATACTGATGACGCTTGGAAGAAGTCTGTCCACAAGTTCAGCACATTTTACATACAAGAAAAATTTAAAAAATTAAAACACGAGTTTTTCCTGTAAGTGTTCTTATATGTGTGTACATTAGAGGAGTTTTGCCAGGTAACACTTATAGAATTCCCTGGAGTGAGGCCACAATTTCCAACAAGGAAGTATAATTTTAAACCTAAAAAAGTGTGAATGTTTTTGCAGTAGTAGTGGTAGTTTATTTTCTTCGGTCAATTAACATAATCATGCATCGTATAACAATGATTTAACAAAAAACAAATGATGCAGTTAATGCAGATCAGTAAGGTTATTCTCTAGACCGAAGGGGTTTAGGCTGAAGTTTAACACTTGTTTTGCCAAACCCTATTAACATATAGAACAGGACACAAGATGACAGAACTATTTACAGAAAACAACAGCAAACAAAAAAAATCCTCTTTTATGAGAGCAGGAAAGAAAATGTCCTAAATGTTTTAGTATACACTTACACAATCCAGAACACAATCCAGTATACATCAGTGTTCATACACTAGGGATGGGCATTCGATGACATTTTCTTAATCGATCGTTGGAAGAATTAACGATCGATTATCGATTAATCATTAATGTTTTTATATTAAAATTATCATCATTATTATTACTATCTGCACTAATCTGCATAAATAAATTGAACTTTACGACATATAAACCATAACCACTCTAGAGCCACATCAGCCCGTTTGACATTATAATGTGTTTAATTCAGTTTTGCGCAACTCTCACAGAAACAAAACTTAAAACTGCATGGCTCATTTGCATAAACTAAGCAAAGATAAAACTACAGCTCTTGTGTTGCTGATGCGGTTCAACTTCTGTCGGATTAAAAGACATGACTCAGTGGAATACAGGTTAGTGTGACCAGATTTGCATTTGTCAAAACCAGGACACCGTATGGGGGGTGGGAGGTGGGGACTCGTCATCGACAGTGCACGACTCTCACCTGGCAAAACTTTTTCCCACTGGACACCGAAACATATGTGCTGCTTTGTACACTGTGCACATGGACTCCTACTTGTCCCGAACGGAAAACATGGAATTTCTTGTACAAGTCATTGTTAAATACACATTTGCTCTTCGGCACATTGCAGACTGACCGACTGTTTGTGTCTAGCTCCTTCTGAGTGCAGAGAGACACATGTACAGACCCTGTTTGGTCACGCTACGCACAGCAACCTACATTCGGTTTCTCAATTAAAATTTATGTAATCGATGAAATTCTTAATGATCAATTATTGATTAATTGACTAATCATGCCCCTCCCTATCATACACACACACACGCACACGCACAGATCATGTACATGTTAATATTTATACCTATTGGTTTATAATATACTCTTAAATTGTATTTCTCTATATTTCTCTACAATTTTAGTCTTATATTTTTTTTTTTATGTGTAAATTGTTTTAGAATCTTTTAAAGTTTCATCGAGACTATTCCACAGATGAACACCTCTGATGGAGACACAGCGACTTTTCAGGCTGCTCCTCACAAGAGCTTTCTGAAAGAGTCTCAATCCTCTTAAGATTGTCCTCACTCTCTCTGGGTTTGAACATCTCTTGGATACTCTGAGGGAGCAGATTGTTATGTGCCTTAAACATGACAACTGCAGTATTTAGATCAACAAGATCATGTAATTTGAATGTATTTAGTTTAATAAAGAGAGCATTTGTTGGGGCATAGTAATCAGCATTATTTATGATTCTAATAGCTTTCTTTTGCAGTAAGAAGATGGGCTTGATGTTTGTTTTATAATTATTCCCCCATATTTCCACAATATGATGATCTTATGTGTGTTTTAGTCAAATGAGTGAGTAATCCAACTTGTGATTGGCTTTTTAAAATCTCATGCTACCTCTCGCTCTGATGACAGTGACAGATGCACAGGAAGCAGCCTTCATTAGCTTACATGCACCATCATTACACTGTGTTTGGCTTCCAAAGGAAACCCATCCTCAAAAGTCCAGTCCCAAGTCCAAGTCCTTATGTGGGCGGAGCCAAGAGGGGCTCGGGTGCCTGTCCTGCCGCGTGATTGGCTGCTTCGAACTCCCCCTCAGTTTAAAAGCAGCGCGCTCCTGTGTTCAGTCACACACAGGAGCAGATAAGAGGCTGTAGTCTGAAGGCACTTTTGGAGCGTGAGGATGCCAGCGTATGCCACCAACATGAGGCTCAAGTTCCCCATCCTCGCCCTGGTGCTGGAGGTGGTCACCATCATCCTGTTCGGTGTGTTTGTGGTGTATGATGATGGAAAGGGACACGGAGACCACGCAGATCACAATGATAACCACACGCAGGAAACCAAGTCGCCCATGGAGCTCTACCCAAGTAAGTGTGCAGCAGGATGGGGTTTGTACAGAGACTGTGCAGGCTGCTCTGGGATGAACTGCAACATTACATATAACTTCACTCAAACTTTTAACTAGTTTTTTTTTTTTTTTTTTTAAGTGTTTATTACTATGTGATACTCAAAAATGAATGAATGACCTTAAATAAATTTATTATACCACATTTTGAGTGTATTTGAATATTTAGGTTCATTTAAAGGTACGGTACACATTTTGGAAGTGGCATGTCACTTAAGTGATTCTGTGGAAATAGAAAAGTAAAATCATGCTTCAGAACATTCTCCATGTTTTTCTGTGCAATAAACCAAACTGAAAAAAACAAAAACAAAAACATGCTTTTATTTTGGTCTGCTTTTTGATTAGGTTACTCACTGTGGCATTAACGTAGACTTTTTAAATGCAAAAATATTACATAATATATTTATTTAAAGCCACCAAATATAAGTTTTTGTGCAAAAAATACACTAAAAAGTTCTTGTTGTTTTCTTTTCATTTTGGGTGTGGTCATTGCACTGAAAAAAACGGACTCCTAATTTGCTAATCTCAATGTTCCTGTGGCTATAATCTTTCACAGTATGGCATTAAACTTATCTATCTCCATGGACACCCAAAGTATGGCTTTGGAACTGATGTGCCACCTCCAGAAAGTTACACAGTATTGCTTTAAATGTCAAACTGGCTGCTTTGGATTAACATACAATAACTAAATAGAAAATTGTTACATGTTACATTCATTTAAATCAAGACTTCATGACTTTGTTTTTTGCAGTGTGGGAATAGATTTTTTGGATTTGGTTTGTGAGCTATGGGGTCCATGTCCCTCGGGGGCTTCGTAAGACTTCTGATGGGAGTCAAATGAAGAATTGGTTTGATTTGCAAAGTGCCAGTCCAAATTTGAGCTAATGACATTACAGCACAGAGAGGTCTTTGTGGAGTCACGAGATCATTCCACACTTTGAAACAGTCAAATGAACCTCACTCCTGCACTAGACCCATGGTGGACTGAATGGGTTTGACCAGCAATGGGCAGCACTCAGTTACTCCTTCTTACTTTAGTAATTGTACTTTTCAGAGGACTTTTCATGGACCATACTTTTTACTTTTACTTGAGTAATTATTTTTGAAGTAACAGTACACTTACTTGATTAAGAGTAGTGGTTTCTCTTCCCACTGTGGGTAAGACACAAGAAAACAAGTGACAAAAAAAGGTAATAACTATATTAACTACACCTTAATTAGCCTTAATGCCAGAGTATGTAACTTTTTTAGCCAAAAGACTCATCCTCCTGCTGCTCCTGGAAATGTTGTTCCTTTGCCTCTCATCTTTGGCATAATCTTCCTACATGGAGAATGTTGGTTTTAACTTTCTATTTCCATGGAATCATACAGGTGACGTGCCACCTCCACAAAGTTACACACTGACGCTTTAATAGTGCATGAACAAAAACTTTATTCATAAGGCTATTAATAGCTGCAGTTATTATAAGTAGTAGTAATATCTAATGACGCAAATACATGAAGTTATAGTCATAGTAATTATAGTTACTTACACCACCAGGCAAAGTCAAGGGTAAGATTTGTAGAGAGGGACCTGTATCTAATCAAATGAAGGTGAGGTGAAATGCCATACTGTGGAACATTCCCTGAAAAATAATCATCTCCATGAGACAAGTAGTTCAGTAGTATTAAAAGCTGTATCTTAAAGTTGGCATTATTAAGTGTTCATTTGTAACTTATGGCCTTGGACTAAACAGCAGAGTCCAGAGCGTTGCCATGGTTTCTGACCCCCAGTGCAGTTGTGGCGGTCACATTTCTGACCCCTTTCACCGCTGGGCCCCTGACCTCCCGCAGTCCTGTGCAGCTGGCCCACACAGCAGCCCTGAGCCCATCAGACAGACATAATTCACATTTTGATGGAGGGTCCAGTACAAATGTATCCATTTCCCTGGAGACAAGTGCTGTAGGTGACTTCACCAGGCCAAGTTATAGATCAAATATGTTTCATGCAATACTGTGGAATATTACAGGCAAAGCATAAGATCTCCATGGAGATAAGCAAGAAAAGTTGCATTATGCGCTTTTAAACCTACAAATCAGGGGGAAAAAAAGCCCAAATAAATGAAACTAAACTAGAAGGCTTGATGCATGCATTGATTTTCAGGTATTTGTTTGTTTTAAACAGGGAAAGACTGAGGGCAAATATAGAAATGCAAATGAGAAGTAGCAGCAATGACAGCAGAACATGTGGAAGAAAGCTTTGAGATGTTACTCTAGATACACACTGAACTACATTATTAGGGCCAGGTGTAGGTAGTATGGCGTTAGATTTAATTAGCTACATTATCTTGAAAAACTTTTAAAGAAATTATTTTCTAGCAGCATACTTTTATTCTTACTTGAGTAGAAGTATTGGTTCCTCTTCCCACTCTAAAGGGCCGTTCACACCGTCAAAAAACGCCTTGACCCCTCTATTTTGACGCCTTTGCATTTGAGTTTAGACGCCCTCGACGCGCGTCTTTGACGCCGTGGACGAACGGGACAAAAATACTTGACGCGCGTCCGTTGCCCTGGAAACAAGAGCCCGGTCCCGGTCTTTTCCCGAAACAATGTCAGACCAGACTGAGAGAGTGTTTTTATGATATAAAACATCAAAGGAGGAGATCGGGTCGACAACTGGGGCGTATATATATTTATACTCCGCTAATGACACTGATCAGTCCCGGTCTAGTCCTGGTTTGGTCCCGGTCTAGTCTCGGTCTAGTCTCGGTCTACTCCCGGTCTAGTCCTTGTTTAGTCCCGGTCTAGTCCTTGTTTAGTCCTGGTCCGGTCCTGGTCCGGTCCTGGTGTAGTCCTCGCGATCGGCTCGGTGATTGTGGCGTATATTTATTCTCCGCTCGTGTTTGTGGTTCTCGTTCTGGTTCTCGGGTCTTGCTTCCTGAAAACGTCGCTGCGTCACTGGATACTCGTCCCTGATTGGTTGACGCGGCGCGTCTGACGCGAAAAGTTCAGCATTTTCAACTTCTTGACGCTGACGCCTTGGACGCGCGTCTAGAGCGCTGACGCCAAAACGCTCAAGACGCGCCGCGTCGACGCCAGATTCGCGCCGCGCTGACGCCGAAAACGCGCCGCAAAAACGCAGGATGCTCTAGTCGCGCGTCCACATAGACTTTACATTGAAAGTGGACGCTTTGACGCTTTGGTCTGAACGGGCCTTAAGTCTGCAACTGACAAAAGCTTTATGATGACAACAATGAAATGATTTGAACATTTGAGCGCTGCTCATTCAGATATGATGTATTTTCACCCACTGTTTAAATATCCACTCTTTAAATATAAGGGAACAGTGAAGTACAATGAGTCCATACATCAACATTAGAGCAGTAGTTGATGGCCAGAGGCTCAAACAAACAGTCAACTATCAGTAAACCAATAGAGAAAAGTTTAGTTCTGTATTTAGAGCATTTTAAATCACAATATTCATTTAAAAATGATTAAAGAATTAAGTCCTCTGATTTACAGAACTGCAGTGTAGTAGTAGTAATGTTACTCTTTGAAGCAACATTCTTCTTACTTGAGTACAATGTTTGGCTCTTTTCCTCTCCTCTGATGATGTTATAGTAGTTCTACAGCAGGGGTATCCCAACTTTTTTATGGACCATGTATAGTGTTATAGATTATATTTGTTATATTGGTTTTCTGTGCCACCATAATTTCATTCAGTGTCACAGCCTTAATATCAGGCCTGTCTCACACCACAATGGTTATTTGGTTTGGTTTGTCAGTTATAATTAGTTATAATAGAGGAATATGGAAAAGTAGCAGTAAAAAGAATTCCCCAGGATAATTCAATTCATTATAAATTCTGAGGGCCAAGAAAAATTGACTTAGAGGGCCGCATTTGGCCCCCAGGTCATAGTTTGGCCAACCCTGTTCTAAGGAAACATGTTTGATCAATAAATGTTTGGGAATAAATAGCATTTTTTCCAAAACTGATGAAAGGAGTTAGTATTGAGCAATGTGCTGAACTGACAATGTGTGTGTGGGGTGGGGGTGTGTGTGTGCATGAGTGCATGTGTGTGTGTGAAGGGGGTGTGCGTGCGTGTGTGTGAGTGAGTGTGTATGTGTGCGTGGGGGGTGGGTGTGCGTGCGTGGGGGGGGGGTATATGTGTGTGTGGGATGGGTGTGTGTGTGGGGTGGGGTGTGTGTGTGTGTGGGGGGGGTGCGTGTGTGTATGTGCGTGTGGGGGGGTGAGTGTGTGTGTGTGTGTGTGTGTGTGGGTGGGGGTGTGCGTGAGTGTGCGTGTGTGTGTATGTGTGCGTGTGTATGTGTGTGTGGGGTGGGTGTGTGCGTGAGTGTGTGTGTGTGTATGTGTGCGTGTGTATGTGTGTGTGGGGAGGGTGTGTATGTGTGCGTGAGTGTGTGTGTGTGTGTGTGTGTGTGTGTGTGTGTATGTGTGTGTGGGGTGGGTGTGTGTGTGTATGTGTGTGAGCGCGCCCAGTCTCAGGGCGTGGCACATGTGACAGTAGAGATTAGACTGGCACCAGCACTGCCAGGTCTTTACCTTATATGGGCTTTTGGTTTTGCTATATGAAGAGTCATGGTGCAAACACATGTTTAGTGTTGTTTTGTAACATTCACAGTGAGAGGCTCTTGTCATCAGCGCACTGGAATAGTTAGGTTTAGTACAAAGTATTGCAAAGGGAAGTGCTCTTGTACTTTCATGTTAAAAGGAACACTATTTTATTTTATATATATATTTTTTTTTATTGTGTAGTTTGAAGCTGTATAAAACTAAAAAGTCAGTGAATATGTTCTGACATCTCAGCAGAAGAGAAAATTCACTTAGTAAAAAAAATAAAAAGCACTAGCAGACTGTGGCATTACATCTAATCCATCACTGAGTGTGTGCAATTATAGATTTTACTGAGAACAAAAAGACAATTTATTACAAAAACATGATGGACAAGTTATTGGCAGTTTCAGTTCAGTTGGTTTAAACCTAAAGGGCCGTTCACACCAAAGCGTCAAAAAACGCCTTGACGCCTCTATTTTGACGCCTTTGCATTTGAGTTTAAGGGGCGTTCACACCAAAGCGTCAAAAAACGACAAAAATACAAGAGCCCGGTCCCGGTCTTTTCCCGAAACAATATCAGACCAGACTGATAGAGTGTTTTTATGACATAAAACATCAGCGGAGGAGATCGGGTCGACAACTGGGGCGTATATATATTTATACTCCGCTAATGACACTGGATCAGTCCCGGTCTAGTCCTGGTCTAATACCGGTCTAGTCCTGGTCTAATCACGGTCTAGTCCCGGTCTAGTCTCGGTACTCCCGGTCTAGTCCTTGTTTAGTCCCGGTCCGGTCCTGGTGTAGTCCTCGCGATCGGCTCGGTGATTGTGGCGTATATATTTATGCTCCGCTCATGTTTGTGGTTCTCGTTCTGGTTCTCGGGTCTTGCTTCCTGATAATAACGTCGCTGCGTCACTGGATACTCGTCCCTGATTGGTTGACGCGGCGCGTCTGACGCGAAAAGTTCAGCATTTTCAACTTCTTGACGCTGACGCTTTGGATGCGTGTCTTGGCCGCTGACGCCAAAACGCTGAAGACGCGCCGCGTCGACGCCAGATTCGCGCCGCGCTGACGCCGAAAACGCGCCGCAAAAACGCAGGACGCTCTAGTCGCGCGTCCACATAGACTACATTGAAACTGGACGCTTTGACGCCTTGGTGTGAACGACGCGACGCGCGTCTTTGACGCCGTGGACGAACGGGACAAAAATACTTGACGCGCGTCCGTTGCCCTGGAAACAAGAGCCCGGTCCCGGTCTTTTCCCGAAACAATGTCAGACCAGACTGATAGAGTGTTGACGCCTTGGTGTGAACGGCCCTTAAAAGTTCTCTCTCTGATGTGAATGGTCACTAAAGCACCTGCACCAACCCTGAATCAGTGCTAGTGCAGCCTCTGCAGCTCAGGGAGGGAAATCTGGAGGTTCTTTATCTTTAGCAGAGGTGGTAGTTCTATTAGTTATAGTTCTATAGGTACAGTCAGTATGGATGACAAGCTGAGCTCCTGCCTGCACTATCAGCCCTGACTATGTGACCGCTCATATGTACACACAGGGTGAGCAGGAGTAGCAGCGGTCAGTTCAAACGCACACATATCTACTGAGTCATGTTATCAGCTCAGTACTGAGAACATGTGCACCTGTGCCCCAAAATCCATATGTTTACTTTAAATATCAACAGTACTAAGCCCACAGGAGTCAGTATTCAATTCTGTGTTGTTTTTTTTTAAGTGCAAATAACATGCACTTTAAATTCCAAATAACATTTTTTATTCTAATTCTGACATAGTCTGGGGGGATAGTACCGGTGCTAAATATTTTTAATAGTATAGTTATAGTAGTAGTACTTTCATGAGGAAAACCAGGTGTCACAGTGGGGAGCCAGTGTCAAAAAACTGTTGTTGTGTCCTCAGGCAAGTTACTTCACCTACATTGCAGTTTGAGAAAGTGTGTGTGAGGGATGATGGTGGTCGTGGGGCTGATGGTGCAGATTGGAAACCTCGTTTCTGTCAGTCTGCAGTTGGAGCTGTAATAATAACTTACCATCACCAAGTATGGAGTGAATGAATAATGCTCTGTAAAGCAAAGCGCTTTGGGTGTCTTGAAAGGTGCTATATAATTGCAATGATGTATTAATTACTTAATAAAAAGTAATTTAAAAATTACACAGAAAACTAGGTAGAAAGGCAACTAAAGCCCTTTCTTGTAAGAGTCCAAGATATATATCTCCAAAAAAGTTGTCTTCTGAATCAGCATAGATGAAATAATAGAAAGTCTCAAATCTGTTCAGAATAGCTTGAAAAAGTGGTGCCACTCCTCAAACACAAACATATGATTCTTGTCAGTTGACTTTAAAGAGTGGATGCAAAATAAACTTTTTGGAGATTTCGACCATGTTATGTATGTTATCAAATGTTATCAAAAACAGGCCTGAAGAAGTTTCAGATGTCATCCATGCATGTTTGAGTAATTTAATGATCTCTCCCAGGCCCTATTCAAACCTTCCTTATGATTCGCTGTAAGATTTTGTCCAATGGTCCACCCCCAAGCCTACATCATAAAACCTGATGCAGGGTTAGGGTTGTACTAAGGTAATAGTGCGCTGAAGGGTGAGTGGCTTAGCAAGGAGAGTAAAAGGAAGGGAGACATGTTAATACAGTGTTTTCCAAATTGTAAAAGGTAACATGGGGATCTGTAATATGTTAGTAATTAGTTAGTAGCCCATAGTGAATCTCCCATAGAGTTATATAGGCCCTGCCATCCATCTCAAATCATGACATCATCAAATTCTAGAAAGTCAAGAGCATATTGGATCACTGAGAACAACCATAACAACCATATCAGGAACTGCCAGAATAATATGAAAATCAAAGGCATTGTGTAAAGGGCCATAAACTCTCACTTATCGAAAAGCCTAACGAGGCCAAACCAGTGAATATTGTAGTGCAGAGCAGAGCGCTTCCCGAGTGAAAGTGTGTCTGATTGGTCCGTTTGTTCTGTCCTGGCTGCTCTTAAACTTACACAGGAACAGGAAATGTAGTATTGTTCACAAGTACAGATCACACAAATTACTTTTCCAAATGTTCAACATTAAGCATCAGGTTCTGGCAAGCACGTGTCTGTATCCTTCTGGCCTTACAGCATCGCCCCCTACAGGCCAGCACAGATAATGAACCTCTTTTAGTCAGAGGTAGGTAGTCAGAAGGTAACTGCAGGCATCAACCTATATTAAATACAGTAGGCTGATCCAGTGGTTCAGTTGCCCATAAACCCAAAAGCTGGTGTTAGGTCCCAGCTACGACCAGTATATACTGTTGTTGTGTCCCTGAGCAGGGTTCTTCACTTGTCACTGTATAAAAATCTGTAGATGTTCAACATGCTGTTAATCCATATAGAAGCTGATTTGATGAAACGGGTTATATATTATGTGTTAGGTTGTGTGATTACTTGTTGTGTATTACTTATATTGTTAATGACTTTTTAAACATGCTCTTGAGTAGCTTTGCTTTGATATTCTATGTTTTAGAAATTAAAATGGCCATCTACAGACTGGGGGTCTGGGGTTAGGCCGCCATCTACCTGCAGCAGAGGGAATTTGGAAAGAACTTGGGTTAGCAACCTTTTCCAACACGCTGACACATGCATGAATGTAGAAATGCTCAAATGTTCAATCATACACAAAGCAGGAGACTTTTACCTCTGACTTGACAATACTGGTAAATTCAAAATCATGTGTGTTTTGAGTGCTTAGAGGGAGCAGATTTACTATATTCCAAACATAGAAACACTTTTCAAAACGATAGAAATAGCAGTTTATCAAACTATGGACTCTTTAAAGCTGTACCATGTAATTTTCTGGTGGACAGTCCAAACCTGCTTATCTCCATGGAGATGCTACTGCCTTGCCTGAAATGTCTTCTAAATCTAGCTAGCATTTATTCACTTGGTTGTTTTTATTGCTCTTAAATACCTCGACTTGACTTTTAACTTCTGTCATGATAAGTGTTATACATGTCAACATTACACCTTTTAAAACTCCTTGAATCTAACATTTAAAAAGATGAGTGTATGTCATTATTTGAACATGATGTGTTGTTATGATGTGAGCAGTTGTCACATTTGTGCTGCAGTCTGCTCCTCTATGTGAGTTACAGTCACATACTGCACTACAGTCACACACTACTGTCACACACTACAGTCACACACTACTGTCACACACTATACTACAGTCACACACTACTGTCACACACTACAGCCACATACTACAGCTACACATTATACTACAGTTACACACTATACTACAGTCACACACTACAGCTACACACTATACTACAGTTACACACTATACTACAGTTACACACTACAGTCACACACTACACTACAGTCACACACTACAGTCACACACACACTACACACTACAGTACACACACTACAGCTACACACATACTACATTACAGTCACACACTACAGCACACTACTACAGTACACTACAGTACACACACACTACTACAGTCACACACTACACTACAGTCACACACTATACTACAGTCACACACTACAGTCACACACTACACTACAGTCACACTACAGTCACACACTACAGTCACACACAACAGCCACATACTATACGACAGTCACACACTACAACTACACACTATACTAAAGTCACACACTACAGTCACACACTACAGTTACACACTACAACTACACACTATACTAAAGTCACACACTACACTACAGTCACACACTATATTACAGTCACACACTGCAACTACATACTATACTAAAGTCACACACTAGACTACAGTCACACACTATACTACAATCACACACTATACTCCAGTCACACACTATACTACAGTCACACACTACAACTACACACTATACTAAAGTCACACACTACAGTCATACACTTCAGCCACACACTACAGTACAGTTACACACTACACTACCCACTAACTTGTAGTAATGTTGTTATAGTAGCAGTAGTAGTGGTAGAAGTCTAATTGTAGTAATAGTAGTAGTAATTATAGTCATAGCAGCCATAGCAGTGCTAATGAAGTGGTTGAAGTAGTTAATGCTGTCATAACTGTAGCAGTGGTGGTGGTAATGGCAGCAATAGCAGTAGTACTGTACTTGCTGTAGTAGTAATGTTGTCATAGTAATAGTACTTATAGTATTATAATCATAGTAATAGCAATAGTAACCATAGAATAGAGTAGAAGCTAAGTATGCCAGTAGTAATGTAGCCTGCTTGTTGGTGTTGTACTATTTTGTCTTAGTAGTAGTAGTAGTAGTAGTAGTAGTACAAACATTGTTATAGTTCCACATGTGTCTCTGATATGACAATACTGTACGTCCATGGTGAGATCTTGTGCTGAGCCCCTGTCTTCTTTGTGTCTCCTTAGTGTTCCAGGATGTCCATGTGATGATCTTCATAGGCTTCGGGTTCCTCATGACGTTCCTCAAGAGGTACGGCTTCAGCAGTGTGGGAGTGAACCTGCTGCTGGCTGCCTTTGGTCTGCAGTGGGGTCTGCTCATGCAGGGGCTGTGGCACATGGACCATGGCAAGATCAAAATCAACATTTTTAAGTAAGTACCCCTTCCTCTGACCAGAGCTTCTGCAAGAGTTTAAGTGCATCTGACATGTTTTCATGTTTTTTAAAAGACCCATATGACACTAGTTTCTTTTCTATGTTATAATGCTGTTTTCTCATCACAAACATACCTGGAGTTGTGTCTCCACTGACCCTCTTCTATGCATCCTTTGACCCTCTGCTCCTCTGACCCTCTCTATTTCTGTTCCTCTGCTCCTTTCCTCTGCTCCTCTCCTCTTCTCCTCTGACCCTGTCCTCTGCTTCTCTAACCCTCTTCCCTGCTCCTCTGACCCCCTTTCTGTTCTTCTCACCCTCTCCTCTGCTCTTCTCTGACCCTCTCCTCTGCTCCTCTTGCTCAGGATCATAAACGCAGACTTCAGCACAGCCACCGTCTTGATCTCATTTGGTGCGGTTCTGGGTAAGACCAGCCCAGTGCAGCTCCTCATCATGACCATCCTGGAGATCACCATCTTCAGCATCAATGAACACCTGGTGGCCAACGTCCTGCTGGTCAGACGCACACACACAACCGCACACACATACATTCAGGTCAGGTCAGGTCAGGGGGTGGTGGTGGTGGTAGAGAGATACTGGTAGCTCCCGAGCTACATGTTGGAGGCTCCTGTACTACATGAACTGCTGAACTGGGGACTGGAAAAGAGTGAGTGGATCAAAGGGCAAGGGTCTGAACACATGAGGAACACTGTGATTGGTCTAACAGGTATCCAGACGTCAAACCTGCCCCCGCAGTCAGGGGGTTGCTGTAATCAGGACAGTTCTGTGTGATGTCCCCAACTACAGTGAAGGCAGCAAACACTTTAGATTTAGGTGGTTTTGACCAGAAAACTGATATAGACATAGAAACATGTGTTGATAACGTTGTGTCTGATGATGTCACATGTTAATCCCTCCAGGCGAATGACGTGGGTGCATCCATGATCATCCACGCATATGGGGCATACTTTGGTCTGGCTGTGGCTCGAGTGCTGTACAGACCTGGTCTCAGGAACGGACATGACAACGAAGGCTCTGTGTACCACTCCGACATGTTTGCCATGATCGGTAACACTGCTCATTTTTCTCTCATTCTAGTCAGAAATGCTCCAAAGTTTTACAAACTACACCCCCACATTTACAGAGCACTTTTTTGTTGTCATTAATTATTTTTTTATTTGCACTGTATAATGCCTGTAACCATGACTGGACACTAAGACTGGCTGCTACAGGTGTGGTAACTGTACCTATTGTGATCATGTACATGTACAACGGACTAACTCTTTCATGGACATTACATCAGGTCAAAGTTTTAATATTAGGACATTCATTAATTGTAACACCACTTAGTGGAGCTGTTAAGGACCATAATAGTTTGCTTTTATGGTACAAGCATGAAACTTTGCCAGATTAGTAACACCCCCAGGACTTTTATTTCTGGATATGGAACCAAGCCTAATTTAACACTGGATTTGAGAACTGCACACGTCACAAAATATGAAAACGAGGCTGCCGTAAAAAAAAAATACCGCATAATCCCTTTTTTACAGTCTAATTTTCTGAGTTATCCATTTTGTAATGTTGAACAACTATTTTTCATAAACTCCAAAGAATTAAGGAGGTCACATGACCGTTTTCCTCCAGAATGTAAGGGTTGTTTGGATTCCCTGTGGAGGAAATTCAAGTTAATACAATATTTTATCTTTCAAAGTCTTATTTTGGGGGTTTTTGGTAACAAAAAACATTTTTGTGTGCTGTGGTCCAAGACAAGAAAAATATCTGATGAAGGCTTTTTTTGCCGAAACGTTATTTTGTTAATAAAATAGTATTTGGACATCGGCCAACCGAGTGTGCTATGCATTTTTTCACCCTGATCTGGCTACTCCTTGCATTTGCACCTCTGCAGGAATCTTGGTGTGCATTTTCTGTTTCTTTTTTTTAACAAAAAACATTTAACCATCTCTAAAGATCTGTAAGTGCCATATCTTTCATAATGATAATTAAATGCTGCATTAAAGTGAGGCTTAACCCCAAACACTTAACAGAGATTTACCTTAAATCATTAAACTTATTCAAAGTGCTCTTAAGTGCAGCTGCTGCCACATTTGCATGAATCTGTACATGCCAAATTTGTCTTTGCATTGCCCAGCACAGGCGACACTGCATCCACACTTGATAAGTTCATAGCATGTGTCCTGCTGGGGGAGCATGGTCCATAACATTAATCAGTGACTGCCATCACGCTTCCATCCCCAGTCTGCAGGCCTGGAGAGATCTGGTGTCTTAAAATACTAAAATTCTTAATGGTGTATTATAACTTTTCTCGTGGGGGTCCAAACTTCTTCTTTCATGAAGTGGGATGTTCCACTGTATGGCATTAAACATATCGGTCTGTGTTTATTCAGTTAAGGACTGAAAATGTGTTTTGCTCAAACACCTAAAAATGCAGACATTCTTCCATTTAGCAGGGTCTCGTGCTTGTCACCAGGGAGATGGATAAGTTTAATGTCATACTGTAAAAGCAAAGCAAGAACATCTCCATGGAGACAAGCAGGTATTTTACCTTCCACTGGAAATGTTACACAGTTCACCTTTAAAGATGTTAAATTGCATTGTCCTTTTACATAGTCTGTATATCTCACATTATGGGAAGAATTTTTTTATTATTTATTTTCTTTTTTCTTTTTAACATTTGAAGCTAAAACAGTAAATAAAAATGTGTAGTCTTAATAATGGGTTTATATCTTTATCAATCCATATCTCACTGTAGTACAGTGTGAACAGAGCCTCCTCTTTAGATGAGATTATAGTCTGAACATCTGCAGATCATTCTAGATCGAGGGATCACAATGAAAATACAACACCATCTTAAAACCAGGTCGAATCTCACCTTAATTTTGTCATAATCTCAATCACCATCTCCACAGTTTCAAAGGTGTTCTCAGTCTGTTCTCAGTCTCAGTGTGGGATTACTGGAATGAGCCGTCCACCTCTGCTCTTGTCATTATTGTTACTATGATACTGTGATGTGTTTTGGGGGGTGAATTCATTTTAATTTATATAGAGCTTTTCACAGACACATGTCACAACGATGCTGAACAGAGCTTTATTCATATTCTCCATACTCAGTGATGGTAAACTACTATTGTGCATTTTGCAAATTTACCTACTTTGCTCTAAAATTACCACAAAAAAAAACAAAAAACAAAAAACACTAGAAACAGTAAATAATACTATTAAAGATGCACTGTGTAACTTTTTGATTGGGGGTTCACCACCTGCTTGTTTCTATGGAGATGTCATCGCTGTGCTTGGAATGTTCCACAGTGTGACATTACACAGCTCTACTTTACATTTATTCAATTGCAGGTGGTTTTATAGCTCAAAAACACCTAGAAAAACAGACATTGTGACTGTGAGTGGGGTCGCCTCTCCACAGATCTGACCTGTAACTTGGTCTGGTTTAGTCTCCATGAAGATAGAAAGGTTTAATGTCATACTGTGAAACATTCCAGATGAAGCAATAACATCTTCATGGCAATCAGAAAAGTTACACAATGCACCTTTAAAAAAAAACACCATTAGTTTAGTAGCAAATTTTTTTTTGTGATTTAGTTTTTACTTTCACTTTAAAAAATAGCTTTGAAAACCGCTTTGCAGTAGTAGTCTCTAATATCTTGAGAATACATATTCTTCTTTATAACCTATATGATATTTTAACATTATTTTTAAAAATAAAAAGGCAGTTTAAGCAGTAATTTAGCTCCCAGCCTCATTTTCATGTCAGCCATTTTGTGACATGTGCAGAACTGGGTTCCAGGGTGGACTTGGGCTTGGTTCCATTTCAAAAATGCTGGTCCCAGGAATGTTAATAATCTGGCAAAGTTTCATGCTTATACCATAAAAATCAACAACTGGGCACCATTTTGGTCCTTAACAGCTCCACTAACTTATGTGGTACACCATGTGGTCGTTTTTACATAGGCCGAACAAAACACAAACTGAAAAACAGACTGGCTAAACACAAACAGGCTAGAAGGACCTGTAACCCCCTGTATTCTATGGCCATGCATTACAAAGAAGCCAACCATGGCAGCTGTAAAAGCCTAAAAATCTGGGCAACTGAACATATTAAAGAAACAATAAAAAACTACTACAGAGAGAGTCTTACAAGATCTACACTCTCAGGGCTACCCAGTTTTCAGGACTCAGTGAAGAGTTATTGTACTATTTATAACTTGTATCTTGTATTAAATCTTATCTTAAATAGCTTGTAACTAAAACCTACATGTCCCATCATGCACCAGGGGACTGTGGGTCAGCCCACTGTGAACATGTGACTTACACCTATTACTTTAAATCTGCACAGTGATAGCCATCTCAGGTTTGCCCTGATGAAGGCCGAAGGGCCGAAACACGTTGGCGTGATTTTAACTTTATCTGCCATGTGGTATTAAAGGCTTTTCATTATTTTGTACTTTTTGAGTGCCTCAGTTTTTTCAACTTTGTATTTGAGACTTGTCCTTACACTGAAGAGCAACAAAAGGACAATTCTGCACAATCTCTGTATATCCAAGAAGCCCCCCCTGCCCCCTAAAGTTTTGCCTATAACCATCCCTGACCCTTCTCTCCTCTTCTCCTCAGGCACTGTGTTCCTGTGGATGTTCTGGCCCAGTTTTAACTCGGCCATCGCAGACCCTGGCCTCACTCAGCTCACCGCCGTCATCAACACGTACCTGTCTCTGGCGGCATGCGTGCTGTCAGCTTACGCCATGTCCAGCCTCGTGGAGCACAAGGGCAAGCTGGATATGGTCAGTCCAACAGGCAAAGAGTCAAAGAGTACAGGGGACTGCACACAGCCCTGAAGACAGACACATGCTCTGAAAACACCCTCTCTGCATGCATGGAAAGACAGGGCTGGAGGGTTCGACAGAAAAGGGGTACTAGGTATCAATAGATAAACCAAGGCACTGCAAAAAAGTGAACAGAATTACACTGACATTATCAACATATTCTTTGGCTTAGTTGTAGTAGTCGTAGTCATAGTCATCATAAGATATTAGTTTTTAGTGAAACATTATAATAATTAAAACTACTGTATAATATTACCATTGCCCTGAAACAGATTTTGCTTTCCTGCTGGTAAATCATGCTGTTATTACAGTCCTCTTCTGTGTCTCGCTATCTCCCATAGGTGCACATTCAGAATGCCACCCTGGCAGGAGGAGTGGCAGTGGGCACCTGTGCGGACATGAACATCGGTCCGTTTGGGGCCATGCTTATTGGCTTCATTGCAGGGATCATCTCCACACTGGGCTTTAAGTTCCTCACTGTGAGTGCATTTTGAGTTTACATATTTTGTAATATATACTTTATTATTTATTTGTTATTCTCATTTACGATGACGGCCAGGCCACAGCATAAAAGAGCACAAGCAGAATGCACTCACTCATTGATCATAACATGAAACATTTGAAGATTAAAGATGTAAAAGTATTAAAATCAAGCGCACTGATCCTATAAAATACTCAGGACTGAGTTTTAAAAGTAGACAGAGGTAAAAAAGAGGTGAGTTCTAAAATCTGTTGCGGGTGGTTCCAGTCACTTGCTGCATCTGGGCACAGGACCATGAGCAGCTGCTGTTGGAGATCACAGTGTCTGCATTATACACATATACACATGAATGTTCTAATATTAAACTGTGCTCCTCCCCCTCAGCCTGTGCTGGCCTCCAACCTGGGGATCCAGGACACGTGTGGGGTGCACAACCTGCACGGGCTGCCTGGCGTGCTGGGCGGGCTCGCAGGCATCGTGGCTGTGGCCCTGGGCAAGAAGGAAGGGTGAGCCTCTTCTGCATGTTCAAGTACATGTTAAATAACACTAAGTATGTAGGAGAGTAGTGCAAGGCATCTGACTTAGTGAACCTGTGTCTCTCTTCTCAGGGGCAGTGCAGCCATGCAGGCTGCAGCACTGGCCTCTTCTCTGGGCTTCGCACTGGTGGGAGGGGCCGTCACAGGTGAGTACACTTGTGTGTGTGTCTGGTCATAGTTATAGTAAAGTTATATTCAAATGTGTTTGTGTCTGTCATTACTCCAGGTCTCATCATGAAGCTGCCCTTCTGGGGACAGCCTCCAGACCAGAACTGCTTTGATGACTCTCTGTACTGGGAGGTAAGAGCTCAAATACACTAATCTGTACTGTGCAATGAAGGATCCAAACCCATTCTGTTGTTTACAGCATTAGGGCTGTGAGAGTTTAGAATCACACACACCACATATGCATCACTGATTTGGCTTGATTTGGGTTGTAGATACCAGCTGATGAGGAGGAGAACGAGGAGAGCCTGGCCCAAACCAATAACAAAACCGAGGCCTAAAGCTCAGCCAATAGAACGTCACCAAGTCTACGTGGCTTCCAGTCATGAGCGGAGTCTATGCAGATCCACTCATTTGAACACTGACGCTGAGAGCAAAGTTACCACGGCGTACAACAAATACGCACCCCCAATGTCCAATTCTTTTACCAAAATAGCTTTAGTGTTTTTTATATTCAAATTGTTTTTTTGTTTTTTTTAATTAAGGGAGTCAGAATTTGAGAAATAACCAATAGTGTTTAGGACTTTACCTTATATAACTACACTATTGTCCCCAATGTCTTTAAAATGATCCTTGAAACAAGAATCAGCCTACACTTCTTTTATTTTTCTAAACAATTTTCATTGAAATGTTCTAAAATATAGGGCTGTTTTTTAAATTTTTGGAAATGTATCTACCTGCATTCTATCTCTATTTTTGTATTTTTCTAATTAACTACAAAAATCACTGCTGATAGCAATTCCTTTTATACACGTTTGTTTTCATATACATAGCATTAGCATTAGCAATGTTAGCATGGTGTATTTTCATATCTTTTTGTATTGGACATGTGTTTTGCATCTTACCTCACTGGAGCCTGGCCGTTTGAATATGGAGGTCTTGGTCTGGCCTGGTCTAGTGCAGTCTGGTTTAGTCTGGTTCATTGTGGGCTAGTTTAGTCCAGTCTGGCTCGGTCTCATTTGATCCAGTCTGATCCAGTCCAGTCTGATCCAGTCCAGTCTGGTCTGGGTCGATCTGGTCTGATCCGGTCTGGACAGGGATAGTCCAAGATGCTGCAGGACCCAGGGCTTCCACACAGCATGGCAGCTGCACACTTTTCTATGGATCAGACTCTGTCTCTAGAACTTTTGTCTTGTTCCAGTGGTATAAATATGTGTAATACATATGTGTCCATCATAACTCAATCCTCTGTCACTGATGGAGTATGGAAAATAATTTTAAAATAAGATTTTGAATTTGAAATGCTGTTGAATTTCTCACTTTGAATTTTTTGATCTCTGAAAAAACATGTTTGAATTATTTTTATTCTGAATGGCATTTACTGGAATTGTAGGTGTATATTTTCAAAGTGTTTAAAATTCTATATTTAAAAAAGCCCTCAAATTCAACAGTTGAAGAGTGTAAATTTGGCAGTGAAAACATTTGCAGGAAAGCTCCAAAATACCAAGGCAGAAACAATCGATCCAAAGTGATCCTATCTAACTTAGTAACAAGGAAGAAATGGTGCAGTGAAGCGATCTGATTGGTCAGAATTAGTTTCATCAAAACCTCATCTCTTTTATTTCTTTAGTGTAAACCCCGCCCACAGGTGAGAACGGCCAATAGGAAACAGCCTCTGTTCTCCTCACTCACAGGATCGATTGCTTCTGCCTTGGCATCTTAGATATTTGCTGTATGTTTTACACTCTGAATTTTGACTGTTGAATTTGAGGGCTTGGAAATATATATGCTGAAAATTGAAAAGGCGACATTTTTATTTTGAATTTGAAACACACTGAAAAAGTATACTTAAAATCTCAGCAACTGAAATTCATAATGAAAAAAAAAAAAAATCGTTTTCAGAGTTTTTCAGCAGTATTACATTTCTAAATCTGATGAAACAAATGATCTTCCATAATGGAGCCTTGTATTTGTTCTGTCCAGTACTCGAGTTTTTACAGTGACATGGTCAGTTTGAGCTCAGCACCATTGAAGGAACTATTGCTGCACTGCAAATGATGTCTACAGGAGTTAAAATCACATCTGGAAAAGGGTCCTGAATAATGTATAAAACAGGACCGTTAAAATATTTTAAAATAAAGTCAAAAGTTCCTGAAGGTGCACGGCAGCTCCTCTGACTACAATAATATTAATGTTGTGTTTTGTCTAAAGGATTTCTATAGAGACAAGTCTTTCTAACAGTGGGCGAGAGCTCTGATGTGTATGTACTAATACTGTCAATAAACATGTTTTTGTACATCACAGCCTCCTTTTTATTTAAGTCTGACAAAAGCTTGTGGGTGCAAATTCAGTTTCAGGACTACAGGCATCATGAGGGAGGTGGAAGAGGCCAGAAAGTCATTCAACTATGTGAGACAAATGAGTTCTGAACCTAGAGGTTTGAAGATGAAAAATGTGTAATTTATTAGGTTAATTAAATAAAGCAGTTAACATGAGGTACAATTAGGTATGCATATACTGACAGTGTTGGGAAGATTATTTTTTAAATGTATTCCCCTACAGATTACAGATTACACACACCAAAATGTATTTTGTAACATAATCCATTAAATTACTGAATACTTTGGATTACTTGATTTTCTGTAGAGAAGCAAAGACGAGGAAATCGTAACATAAGAAGTTTTGTCTGATAAAAGAAAATAAAAAGTTCAGACTTTACTGAACCAAATAAAAAATATTATTGATAGAAGAAGAAGAGACACGTCCACACAGCAGGATTTAGATTTAAATCCTGTTTTAGTCCTGGTTTAGACCTGTTTTAGTCCTGGTTTAGTCCTGGTTTAGACCTAGTTTAGTCCTGGTTTAGACCTGATTTAGTCCTGGTTTAGACATGGTTTAGACCTAGTTTAGACCTGGTTTAGTCCTGGTTTCGCCCAAAATGTGAAAACAGGAAAATACCGCCATGTAATCCATTTATTTCAACAAAGTAACTGTAATCCAATTACCACTCACTGAAACAGTAACTGTAACTGAATACAGTTACTCATAATTTGTACTCTGATTATGTAACTCTGGTACATGTAATCTGTTACTCCCCAACACTGTATACTGATACATTTAAATGTTATATTCCAGTCATCTGTAATGTTCATAAATACTCTACTACTCTACTCTACTTATGTTGAAATCTCTGCGTATGAGCCATACAGTTTATGCTATGAGCCAGAAAATAGTTTTTGAGTTGTCTCTATAAGTGGACAATACGAGGAAGGACCATAAAATGGAGAAGATGCAAACAGCAGGAGGAGGGAGACAATAAGAGGTAAAATCTGCTACTATGATTCTATAAGGGCCAATACAATATATTCAATCATCTTTTGCTTTAAAAAGTGTAAATAATAAATCAAAACAGAACTAAACAAAGGTGCAGTGTGCACGTGTGAGCAGCAGAGGGCGCTACACTCATCTTCGTCTTACTCCTCCTGTTGTGCTGCGGTGCATGCTGGGATGCAACATGTCTGCCGCTGCTGTTGTGAAGTGAGCTCAACACGTCTGTCCCCGCATATATTTCTCTCATCTGTCCTTTTCCCCGCACACGTCCCGCACTGGTGCCGCACAGGACCGAGTCGTGTCCCGCCTGTCTCCGCCCGTGTGCGTGTGCGTGTGCGCCGCTGTGGACATGGTGAGTGTCTCCGCTGGAGGCGACGTTAGCTCGGAGCATTAGCCTCATTCAGAGCTAGTGATGAACCACAAATATGAACGTTCATATCTGTGTGATGCTCGACAGTAGAACTACAGTTTAACCATGTTAGCTGTGCCCCGGCTGCATGCTTCTGTTATTGACACGAACTGAAAGTGTTGTGTCTTTACTACATCTTATACAAAATGTAAATAATGGTTTAAGTCGGAGGTAGATGAACTCGTGAATCCTCATCTTGACTTTACTTCACTGCATATCAACAGTGTTGGGAAGGTGACTTTTAAAATGTATTCGCCTACAGATTACATATTATATACCCCAAAATGTAGTTTGTAACGTAATCCATTAAATTACTTAAAGTGAGTAACGTAATCTGAATACTTTGGTTTTGATTTTCTGTAGAGAAGCAAAGACTAGGATATCATCACATAAGATGTTTTGTCGGCTAAAAGAAAATAAAAACCCCAGTCTTTCCTTAACCGTATTAAAAATATTATTGATAGAAAACGAGGAGACACGGTCCGCACGGCATGGTTTCATCCTGTTAAATCCTGTTTTAGCCCCAGTTTAGATCTAGTTTAGACCTGGTTTTAGTCCTCGTTTAGACCTGGGTTCAGTTCTGGTTCAGTCCTGATTTAGTCCTGATTTAGTCCTGGTTTAGACCTGGTTTAGATCTAGTTTAGACCTGGTTTTAGCCCCAGTTTAGATATAGTTTAGACCTGGTTTAGACTTGGTTTTAGTCCTGGTTTTAGTCCTGGTTTAGTCCTGGTTTAGATCTAGTTTAGACCTGGGTTCAGTCCTGGTTCAATCCTGATTTAGTCCTGATTTAGTGTCCGGCAATGAGTGGAATTACCAAGAAAAAAAAAAGTGAAAACATGAAAATACCGCTGTGTAATCCATTTATTTCAGCAAAGTAACTGTAATCCAATTACTACTCATTGAAACAGTAACTGTAACTGAATACAGTTACTCATAATTTGTACTCTTATTATGTAACTCTGGTACATGTAATCTGTTACTCCACAACACTGCATATCAGTGTGCAGGCAGATGACCTATAAGTAATACCAATAACCCGGGGAGTGATTCTGCTTAAAAATTGATCTGCTTAGATACTACAGAAAGTGCTTTCTATTTTTTCTAACATTTTATTTTCTAATTGTAACATTGTACTGTGCTTTGTTCCACAGTCGTCCTCTGAAAGGAGAGTGTCCAGCAGCTCCAGGCCCGAGAACAGCCACACTTCCAGAAATCGGAGTGAGTCTGAGTCTCTCTGAAAGTACAGACACACAGTAACACAACATTGCAGTTCAAGTTTGTGTGCAAAATGAATCCCAATGCAAATCACCATTTTAAGTTTCCAAATTGTAATGGCTTGAAGTACCCATATTGCACTATTTTCTGTAGAGACCGACCGATATATCGGCTGGCCGATATTATCGGCCAATATGGGCACCTGGAGACATATCGGCTATCGGCCGATATGCTTGCTGATATGGGCCGATATTTCACGTGGGCATGTTATACCTCGTTATAAAGCTTAGACTCTCTGCATTATGTTCATTTAATCCAATTTACAGACAGATAAATGTCCTAATATGTGTCTCTGCATCAGTATTTATTTGCGGTGTAATTTGTGTCCGTACTGTCCCTGAACACACCAGAGAGTCACGTCACTTCACTCACGTGTGTTTGTTTACATCCGCAGAGGCGCGCAACACAGATAATTTTCTTTTTACCCACAATCGGCTTGAGTCTGGATTAAAAGGACTTTTATTAGTGCAGACTTGTGATGTGAGGAGGAGCCTGTGTGAGCGGTGAGTGTTGGAAATACATCGACTTTGAAGCTAGTTTAGGTTATCTGTTAGCGATTAGCTGCTGTAGCTCCCACACATAAACAGGCTGTTTTCTATTGGCCTATTGTAAAGTGACTGTATTGTCCGTATATTTGTTACTGGACCAGCCTTGATATGTAAATGAGCTGTGAATAGACGTGTGAATGATCCACATTTATGCATATAATTAATTACCGCTGTGCGCACGTTTTTACGGCTAAAGGCTAATAGCGGTAGTTTATTTACTAGCTAGGGGTTATGGGTCGGTCACGATCGAAACGGCTCTTAGATCCGGCTCTTTGAAGTGAACAACGGGAGCCTGCTTCTTATTGGGAGCCATTTCTCTTTTTCTCACTTTTTCTCTTCAAGCCGCATGTAGACCCATAGTTTGACAGCAGCAGCGGCTGAAAACGAAACTTTCAGAAATATGCGTGTGCATAGGATTAAAAAAAAAGGTGCATATTTGGCTGCAGTTCAGCATAAAATGAATAAACCAGGACTAAACTTGGGCTTGAGAGAGAGATAGAGACCGAGTCCCGACACTCAGTCCTGGTTCAGTTCTGGTTTAGTCCTGTTTTACACATGGTTTAAATCTGTTTTAGTCCTGGTTTAGTCCTTTTTCAGTCCTGGTTCAGTTTTGGTTTAGTCCTGCTTGCAACAAAACTATCAAGAGTCGCTTGGGAGCCGAAAGAGCCAGCTGCTTTAGTGAGCAGAGCCAAAAGAGCCGGTTCTCCAAAAAAAAAAAAAAAAAAAAATGGAATACCCATCAATAGTAGCTAGAATGTGATGCAAAAATGCCATTAGGCCAATCTACTGTATGTAAATATGATATAAAGAGTCAGAATAACAATAAATGTTGCCTAAATAAACCCAATTTAGAATCCATTAGAGCCAAACTTAAGTTTTTTAAACAATTCAAGATTTACAGTGAATTTTTACTAAAATATATCGACGATTATATCGGCTATCGGCAGCTCCAACTCCCATTATACCAGTTTCATATCGGCCACAACAAAATCCATATCGGTCGGGCTCTAATTTTCTGATCTGTATTGTTTTGTTATCAAAAACATACCTGAAGTTGTATTTTGTTTCATTCACACATCATTAACACACAAACCCTGCACACAGGCTCTATTCACACTTACATCACAAAGCAGGAAGACTTTAGGCAACATGCAAGGCTTCTTTTATTTGGAAATATATTAGGATGATAAATTCTTAACATTCATAACATGTCCCATAACATGTCGCCCGCTCCCTGTGTCGGCTCAGCTCTGCTTTATAGTTTGGTTTGATCTGGATCTGTACAAAAGCTGCTCATTCACGAGGTCATTTCCAGCGATGTCCTAAAATTATTTTTCTTACCCTGTCTGTGGTCCTAATGCTGCGATGTCCAATTTCCTCCCATTCTCGCGGACGGATTTTGACAGGGAGCAGCACTTGCATGCACTGACAGCTCGGGGCTGTGACAGTGGAGCAGACGCACGTATCATATCTGTGCACAAAGCGGTAACATCAGAAACATTTATATGACAATAAACATATTCCATAAACCGCGAGAAATCCATCTGTGTCGGACCAAACGCAGTGTACCTGAGAGACGAGAATGTGAGCGGTCAGCGGGAGCAGTGGTAGACACCTTGTACCTCAGGTGCTGTGGGATGAGGAGTGCATGAGACAGACACTGGCCTTAAACGAATCCAGAGAAAACTATAAAAGGTTGATATGTGCGCATGTGCACGGACTTACAGCAGTGCGCGTGCGTGTTTGGAACACAAACCCAGTCAGTTCTGTCATGACCTATACAAAATTCTTTATTCCTTGCGCTTCTGCTGGTGTGGACTTGCATCGTGGGGCTCTGGAGCTGTTTTATTATCACATAGATAACTTTTCACCACACTCCTCTTTGATAATGAGGCAAAGTTTACAGACTTTACCCATACTGGCAGTGCTTTGAAATGTCACAGCGGTCACAGATTGGTTCAGATGCCGTCACTCTATATGTACTTCTACCGTCCCACACCAGCCTCCAGCCTCTAGTGCTAAGATTGGAGGCAAGATTGACCCCTTAGACTTAAACTTAGACAAACTTAAATGATTCAGAAGAGAAATGATTTTGACACAGTAGCTCACACATCACATTGTGATGTGTGAGCAAAAATATAAATGGTAAAATAAATTTTAAATTTGTAGCAAAAAAAGATAGCAAGAGACAGATGCGAATAAGACAATTATATAAATGTAAATATACAAGTAAAAATAAAATAGAGTAAAGTAATAAAGTAAATAAAGTAATAAAATGATTGAAGTCCTGAAGACGTATGGAAACGTGATGACAGTTTCCGGTGTAGTTCCTGACACTGGGCTCACCAACCAACTGTGATCAAACCCACTGAAGTAAATGTGATGAGCGGTAAAATGAAGACTGCAGACGTATGTGCTGTTTGGAATCTGATACCCTCATCTCTTCTAATCATATGTACACAGTGCACTCAGAGTTGTGCATCAGTGGGGAAATGATGGAAACTGAGGTCTAGTTTGAACATAACTGAATGCTACAATGACATGAAGATGAAGAAAACTGGGACATTTCCTAATTTTTCCTAGATTCATTTGGATAATGTCACACCTAGAATTGCTGATCTCTATTGAACTAAAGGTTAAAGGTAGAAAACGACCACTACATGACATCACAATCATCATGTTGGAGATTTGAAGATGAATTATAAAGGATTACTCAAACATGAGAATGAAACAAAACACAAGTCCAAGTCTGTTTTTGAAGAGGTAACAGCATTAGAACATAATTTTTTTTAGGACTTTTAAGTACAATGTGCTCTCCGTGTTACAAAACAAAATGTTACAATGGGATGAGACACTTATGACAACAAGAGTTCATTTTTGCCATCATTTATCTGCAATAAAGGGATCAATGCATAATTTTTCTTCCCATATTTTAGAGGACTTTTTTTTTTTATATAAGCAACAGCGATACATGTTTAAAAAGTGCACATTGTAAACAACGCTCGGGCCAGTCCCATTTGACAATAGACTGAAATATGAACTTTGAACAAGTATTGGTTGAACATCACATTGTTAAATATGATTTTTGCATTCATAATTTGTAATCTAATATAGCCTTTGCTGGTACACTGGTGGATAGATTGTTCTGAAACGAACCGGTACCTTTGTGTCAGATGCCCTCCCTGATCTGCAGTGTGTGGTGTGTTTCAGATGGAGAGAAGGGGAAGCGTAGACGCAGCAGGAGTCGGTCGTCCTCTTCCTCGTGTAGCTCCTCCTCCTCTTCTTCCTCTTCGTCACAGTCTTCTCGGTCCTCCTCCCCTGCACCCTCATCCAGCCGCAGCAGCTCCAGCAGTCCCAGTCAGTGGACAACCCAAGCCCACCATACTACATCGCTATTCTTGACTAGTACATACTAAAATGTCAGACTTGATTTCAATACTAAGGAATAGACTCGAGACTCAATACTCATTCTGATGATGCAACAGACAACAGAATGTGATTTTTAAGAGGTGGAAATTAACTCTAATGTTACAACCTGGCACAGTGTCCCTGTCCCATAAAATAAATAAATAAAATCTTCAAATACATAGTAAATATTAAAAGATACATAGTAATACATAGTAAATATTAAAAGGCACTTCTCAAAATCAGGCACCTTTCGACACAGTTCACCATTTTGAAGCCAAACCAGGTGACCTACATGAATTGTGTAGATTCATTGAGAAAAGTTTAGGGGCGGGGCAGGGCGAACATATTTCATTACGGCTGCTGCTGCCAGCAATAAACTTGTACTGCTGCTATATCTATAATATATAAAATAATATATCTAATAAAATAATACATTTGATATCAATAATATGGATAATTCATAATGAAAGAACCCCTCTAAAAATAATGTCTGGTATTGTCACTCAGTATTAATAAGTACTCAAAATGAAATACTCGTACTTGTTTTGGAAAAAGTAGTAACAGTGCATCCTTTAGTGATTTTCCATATTAAACGGTAGAATGTGCTCTCATGTGTGTAATCCCGCAGTGGTCCAGATAGGTTCCATAATGGTCCATGGGGTTGACACAGGTTGACCTGTAACCTGATAACTCAAAAAAGTAAATCAGGTGCTTGTTCTGTAGTTCTGATGAGCAAACGAGGGCACAGAGCTTTTGTATTTGCATGTGTTACCTGCACTAAGACGACAACTTTAGTCCTTAAGCAATTAACTCCAAATGAAAACAGCAAGAGACGAGAAAAAGGCACATGGTCCTGTGCGCACGTTATGAATACAATATGAATATATTATAATACACAAACAGTGCTCCAGCATGAACAACACAGGTCACGAATCATACAAGCCAACACAGTGCAAAAACAACACTCCTCTCCTGGATGAATACATCCAGAGCACGTACACACTGCGTCAGGTGCTCCACCCCATGATCCGGGTGCTTTAGTCACAATCTCCATTAAAAGTTTCTACTGTATGTAAACAAAGTGTGATTTTACATAAACTAAACTGCATGTTCACAAGGCGTGTCCTTGCACATACAACGGCCAGCTGCAGAGGGGGGGTCGGGTCCCAACATTTGAACACATTTCTTTGGGTCGAGTGGGTGGGGTTGGATTTTACCTCGGGTTGGGCAGGGTGGGTCAGAAAAAAGCTTGTGCATCACTAGTGTATACTAGTCTATGTGCTCTTATACTTGCTCTGATACAGGTCAAGGTCATTCTAAAATTAATCAGGAAAGGCTAATTTCTATCCTGTCAATGGGACTTTGTTAGTATCAATACCTTTAAAAAAAGAGTATCTCATTTTGATACTAGTTTTAGTAAAGTAAAGTAAGGTCTTATCTGTACCATCTGTCCCTGTGCTTTTGTGAATTGGCCCTAGACTCACGGAACCACTCCAGAAAAGAGGCGAAGAAGCGAAAGAAGGAGAAGGAGAAACATAAAAAGGTACTCTTACTCAGATATAAGGTGCATGTGAAGCCAGACCCTCTGAACCCTCTGTCCTTCTACAGAAAACTAAAAAAGACAAGAAGCACAAACGCAAAAAGGAGAAGAGATCCAAGTATGACGAGGGTGGGCCTGTGCAGATCTCAAAGGTGTGTCACATTAGAAGAAATCACCTTGTTATTGTCATTACAAGTCTCACAGGCACTCATTTTAAATGGTTTGCAGTAGTCCAGAGTTAGTCTTCATTTATCTTGTGCATTTTAAGCATCCTAATTATTCACCACTATGACTTTATATTTTAGTGAAAATCCTCCTTCAGCCTAAGTGAAAGTACACCTTAAGCCTGTAGGCTTAAAGCCCTGACCCAAGTGATGTGTGGCATTAGCAGCTTTAGATTTTGAGCAGATACATTATACTTTTTGCCTCTAATGTTATGAAGCTTTTAGCTTTACTCCTTCACACCTTCTCTGTTATCCAGTATCTGAAAGACCGAACAAAAGGCAGCAAGTACAGCATGATCTCAGGGAAGAAGATCAAGATGAAGGTGAAAAAGTCCAAGAAGGACAAGCAGGTGAGTGTGTGGTCTGCTGTAGTAGGGCTGGGTGCATTTTTTTTTTTATGTTTTTTTACACATCCTGGACTATTCCAATTTTATTTTAATGGAAGTCAGAGCAGGAACTGCTTGTTTTTAAACAGAGGGTGCTCTATTTTTTATCACATGCTACTATTTAAGAATTTTAAACTGCATTAGAGGGCCCATCTCATGCAAAATAACTCTTTTCACATTGTATCTTCTGCACATATACAAACACAATTTGGGTTTTGGACCATCCATTACACAATAGTTCTGAAATCTTACTGATTTCTTGGAGACAGTCACAGACCAGGAACTATGAAAGGCCAACTATTGCTCCTCCCCCCGCCCATCCTGAGAAAGCACAGGCTCCGCCCTCCAAACGTGACGTAGGCGACGAGTGAGCCGCCCTTCCTCCGCCTATCTCAGGGAGGGAGGGGGAGACAGAAACAGAATTGGGCAAACTTGAATCCTATAATAACATTAGATCAAATGAGGTCATCATAATCTGTACAGACAACCACTAAACATCAGTGGTCGTAATGACTGAGGTGTAATCGGCATTTTATTATCGTGCAGAAGCATTGAAGTCACTAGAATAAAATGATGCCCTAAGTCTGTTGTTAGTATCAATGTAATATCATAGAACTACGTAATGTTTGATAAACTAAAACAGGTAGAACAGGGGAGATGATGCAGATTGAAATTATATGTCGGATAATCTTCAAAAATAAACAATGCAGTTTGCTTTTAGTTCTCTTCAGTGGTTTACTTGTGGTAAACTTACAGCTCTAAAATCTCCATCACTGGACCCTGGTATCGTGGGAACAGCATCCTTTTCCAAAGTGTCGCTTCTGCTTTGTTGTAAATCCAGTTTTAAAATATCCATAGTTCTTGAAGCATCTTCAGTGAAGTGTCGCTCACAAACAAAAATATTCTTGGGGACCTTTTTGTCTGTGTTCCCAGAAATAAACTCCAGCCACTTAGCACGCCTTGCTGCTTCTGTCAGCATGACAAATAATTTGGACTTGCCATCGCAGCAAATACACACTTTTTCCATGAGGACATGGTTACACAAAGCATGTCCGAAGTGAAAAATAAAGATAAATAACGTAGAACAGCAGACCTGTACGGTGCAGACGCAGGGCGGTGTGTGAATGGGTGGAGGCGCGGAGGAGGAGGGCGAGTGCAAAGTGCTTTGTCCTACGTCAAACGCGTCATAAGTGTAGCTGCCAGGTCATCGTTGTAGCAGCTTTACTTTGTTGTCACATGCGGGGGTGGCATTAATACGCAGCAATTTGTTTAAAAAAAGACAAATCAATCTAAAAACCACTTTGGCGACATATACAAGGCCCACACATCACTCTTAAAAGGTAGAAAGTTCTGAAAAGTTGATTTTGCATGATATGGGCCCTTTAAATTACATTTGTATAGATATCTGGTTACATAACCTCCCTGCTTTCAAGTAAAAGTGAGAAGTAAACTTCTTTCATAATAATCCTTGATTTCACAATTCGCAATTTTTCAAGATCTTAATTATAAAAAAACTGAAATAATTACATTTATTACCCAACCCTACACTGTACTCTTCTGTTGTCCCCTGTAGTAGTACTCAGTAGTCTTTCCCAGTAGTAGTCCTCTGTAGTAGTCCTCTGTAGTAGTCCTCTGTAGTAGTCCCCTGTATTAGTCCTCTGTAGTACTCTGTAGTAGTCCCCTGTAGTAGTCCTCTGTAGTCTGTAGTACTCTGTAGTAGTCCTAGTAGTCCCTGTAGTAGTCCCCTGTAGTAGTCCCTGTATTAGTCCCCTGTATTAGTCCTCTGTAGTACTCTGTAGTAGTCCTCTGTAGTAGTCCTCTGTAGTAGTCCCCTGTAGTAGTCCCCTGTATTAGTCCTCTGTAGTACTCTGTAGTAGTCCCCTGTAGTAGTCCTGTAGTAGTCCCCTGTAGTAGTCCTCAGTAGTCTTTCCCTGTAGTAGTCCCCAGTAGTAGTCCTCTGTAGTAGTCCTCTGTAGTAGTCCTCTGTAGTAGTCCTCTGTAGTAGTCCCCTGTAATACTGTGTAGTGTGTACTGTGTCTTCTGTAGTCAACTGTACTGATTCATGTGTTGTTATTGTGTTTGTTTTTGCAGAGGGACAAGAACCGCGCCGAGCTCCTGGAGTTTTTGAACTCAACCCTGTGACCCCTCTGTGACCTCTGGATGACCCCTGAGTGACCTGACAGCAGAACCACCAGCATTACTGTACATGGAGGCCTTCCCCATGTCACTGTGTCTTTTGGAGAAATGGAGAAGTGTTCAGAGGAGTGTCCATAAGGAGCCTACAGACTTTTGAACTCCTGTGTCACTACTGCAGAGGAGACGAGGCCTGTCACAGTCGTCATCCAGAACAATCTCTATTTTATTTGGAAATGTCCTCGACAGATTCTTTGATAATCATAGTTTGTTGTTGGATTTTAGTTTGATTTATTTCATTGGCTCCAAACTTTTCACAACTAGTACCACATAATTTACCCTTCCAAGTCCCATCAGTTCTAAACCAGGTCTACAATGGGGTCAGATCTAAACTAGGACTAAACCAGGTGTAAAACAGGACTACACCATTCTCACAGTAGTTTTAACACTAGAACTGAAGTGGTGTTCCCAGAAGAACCTTGTACCACAGTTTGAAAAGCACTGGTTTGTTGTGCATTAGTTACCTTCTTAAAATGGAGAACTTGTCATTTTAATGTTTAATTTCACAGCTGTGGTTTAATTAAAAGTTATAAAAGAAAACTGGGCTTGTCAACCTTGCAAATGTGTGTTGGCCTATTTGTTCGCCTATTATTAAAACCCATCTACCTTTATTTAAAGGTCCTATATTACACACAAGTGACTCTTGTGAGCTTTAAGCCATGTTATAATGTTGTCACCACCTTAAAAACATACTTAGCGTTGTGTTTTGTTTCATTCACACAGTACTTCTGGGTTTTTAGGCTGTCTGCATTTCCAAAGCTTAAAATGCTCTGTTTCACCTTGTGATGTCATGTAGTGGTAATTTTAACTTGTTTTTGTTGTTTTGTTTTGAGTATTTTAGTTTTACCTTTTATAGAATTGACATTGTCAATGGAAAGTTTCTAACATCTGCTGGTGCATCAAGAAGTAAAGAAGCAGTAAAGCTGTATTACCACTTAATGACATCACAACGAGGAACATGGTGTATTCTGTTTGAGAGAGCTTTCCACATATGCAGGGTTTGTGCGTTAAACAAAACACAACTCCAGGTCTGTTTCTGAGAACCACTGACTTAAACTTAATTTCTAAAGTTGTTTTCAAATGATTCTCTTGTTTTGAGATCGTGTGGACCATTTTCTATTGCTAATTTACATTGAATAACGTTCATTCTTACTGTGAATGGGGCCGCCTCTCCACAGATCTGACCTGTCACTTGGCCCTGCCTGTTACCATAGAGATCTGAGATCTGTATACATTCACCTTATTTTCCCTCAGTTATAGCTCTCTACGTCCTCTTTCATGGAATGGATGGAGCAAGTTGGAGATGCACACCTGTAATGTCATGTTGTGGAACTTTCCAGGAAAAGAAATAAAGTCAGTGGAGAGAAGCATTGAGACCTTTCACCAGAAAGTTCCGTAATGCCCCTAAAACTAAAACTGCCATAGACATAGAGTAGTAGTTTGAATACTTCATATTATTTGTATATTTTAGTTTTGGAAGCTGAACCTTTGTACATGTGTAGTTCACTGTAAATATGTAAAATGTAAAGAATACATGTTTAATTAAAGCCCACACAGAAATCTTTGGTGTTTTTTATTAAGTGTATCAATCATACATTAATGTTTCTCATTATAGAAACAATGGAAAAGAAACAGAAGAAAGCAGGGTACATTAACACATCATCAAATACTTGTCTCCCAGTCTAAACTTATCTTTATATGCACGTAGATGAGTATCAAACAGTTGTACTCATGTAACAGTACAGATACTTGAGTACTCAAGATACTAAAATAGTACTCATAGGATCACAAAGTTGTACAAGAAATTACTCAAGAGTAAACAAGTATTTGGGGAAACACAAGTATAAAGAGGCTAACTAAGAGTAACTGATTGATCATTTATAGTGTAGTATAGTATAAATAGTGTACTTAGAGAAAACAAATATTAAATAAAGCACAAAATCTGGTATTTTCAAAGGAAAAACAGAAATGAGACAAACTAAATTATATCTGAAGGAGAAGTGCAAGAAACACAAACGTTGAAATCATTTCATAGTGTCAATATAAAGCTTTTGTCACTTACTGTAGGAAGAAGTACAATCTTTACTCAAGTTCGAGTACTATTACACTGTACAATATATTACTCAAGTAGGAGGTAAAGTAATATGATTTCTACTCTGAGAAGTACAATGGTATTAAAAGCTATTGTGCTGGAGTAATTGTACTACACCTTCGTACTGCAGCCCTGGTACAGTTATCTCACCATTGGATGAGTATGTGAGTATTTGGTCCACAGTGGGTCGGAGCTTTGATGTTGTCTCCATGTATTGCAGTACAGGGAGTGTACAGCAGGGGGCTACTCTGTATGTCACACCTGAAGGGACATGGAAAAGCTGAGTTTAATCCGACAAGGCTATTATTTTTATTTTTAATTTAAATGTTCAGGAAAAAAAAATCTGATCGTGAAATTCTATTGGTTGAGACATGTTTGATTATTATCCGTATTCCAGCTTACTCCTGTCCAACTCCTTACTCACTCCTGTCTTGCTCCTGTCTCACTCTTATCTTGCCCTTGTCTCACTCCTGTCTTGTTGCCACCCCTGTCCTAGACCTGCTCCTGTCCCGCCCCTGCCAAGCACTGAAAGTGTCCTGTCAGAGCACTTTGCTGCTGGTGCTCTGGTGCCTAAAGTCAGGCATGCTCCACACCCTCTGGCTCCTGTCCACCCCTCTCTCTACATCTTGGGACACAGTGTGGAGGTTGCTCAGCCCCGCCCCCTGCTGATCGCCCACTGCTGCCGCAGAAGTGAGCCCCAGGGTGCTGCCGAAGGGGTTGATGCGGAGGCGGGACCTGAAAGTGACCAGGGAGACTGCACGTTTGTGGGTGCTGCGTTTGTGGGTGCTCCACTGCTGTGCCAGTCTGAGGGTGTCCTCCTCCTCCCTGAGCTGCTCCAGAGTCTGCAGCAGCACCGAGCGGAACAGGCCCGGGACCTCAGGCACCTCTGGCTCCTGCGCCTGGACCGCTTCACGGAACCTACACACACATGTCACATATCACATGGAACCTGCACACACATGTCACATATCACATGGAACCTGCACACACGTCACATATCACATGGAACCTGCACACACACATAATCACACACACGTCACATATCACATGGAACCTACACACACATCACATATCACATGGAACCAGCGCACACACACACGTCACATGTCACATATCACATGGAACCTGCACACACGTCACATATCACATGGAACCTGCACACACACATAATCACACACACGTCACATATCACATGGAACCTGCACACACGTCACATATCACATGGAACCTGCACACACACATAATCACACACACGTCACATATCACATGGAACCTACACACACATCACATATCACATGGAACCAGCGCACACACACACACACGTCACATGTCACATATCACATGGAACCTACACACACGTCACATATCACATGGAACCTGCACACACGTCACATATCACATGGAACCTGCACACACACATAATCACACACACGTCACATATCACATGGAACCTACACACACATCACATATCACATGGAACCAGCGCACACACACACACACGTCACATATCACATGGAACCTGCACACACGTCACATATCACATGGAACCTGCACACACACATAATCACACACACGTCACATATCACATGGAACCTGCACACACGTCACATATCACATGGAACCTGCACACACACATAATCACACACACGTCACATATCACATGGAACCTACACACACATCACATATCACATGGAACCAGCGCACACACACACACACGTCACATGTCACATATCACATGGAACCTACACACACGTCACATATCACATGGAACCTGCACACACATGTCACATATCACATGGAACCTGCACACACGTCACATATCACATGGAACCTGCACACACACATAATCACACACACGTCACATATCACATGGAACCTACACACATATCACATGGAACCAGCGCACACACACACACACGTCACATGTCACATATCACATGGAACCTGCACACACGTCACATATCACATGGAACCTGCACACACACATAATCACACACACGTCACATATCACATGGAACCTGCACACACACATAATCACACACACGTCACATATCACATGGAACCTACACACGTCACATATCACATGGAACCATTGCGCGCACACACACACACACATCACATGTCACATATCATATATCACATGGAACCTGCGCACACACACGTCACATATCACATGGAACCTGCGCACACACACACACACACACGTCACATATCACATATCACATGGAACCTGCACACACACACACACACGTCACATGTCACATATCACATGGAACCTGCGCACACACACACACACACGTCACATATCACATGGAACCTGCGCACACACACACACGTCACATGTCACATATCACATGGAACCTGCGCACACACATACACACACACACACAATTGAAACAAAACACAACTGATGAGGTGACAGCATTATAACAGAGATTAAAGCTCACAAGAGTAAGGTTTGCCTGATATAAGACCTTTAAAATGTGTTTGTAGCTCATTCCAATAGAAGGTCAAGTGGCTTTTACCTGAGAATGACCAGACCACAGTGTGAAGAGGGCACTTGTGAGCACAGATCCTCCAGCCCCAGCCTCTCCCCTGTGCTGAGGCTGTGTGAATTGCGGGGGGCACTCTGGAGCCAGCTGTAGTCCACTCCTGAGCGGAGGCGCTGGTCCTGGCTCTCTCTTTCTCTCTGCAAGCGTTGGACCTCTCTGCACTGCCACGACAGCTCCAGCATCAGAGTGTCACACACCACCTCTGACGGCAGCCTGCGGGGGGGACTGTATGGCTGCTCGGGCCCCCACAGCCAGCCCCACATGGCCCCTGCACGCACGCACACAGGAGAGCAGGTTTAGAAAAGTATACTACAGACTGATACTGTATATATATATATATATATATATATATATATATATATATATATATAGTATATATATATATATATATATGTGTGTGTGTGTGTGTGTACTCCACAAGCGCCTGGCAGCACAAATGAACCAGCTGCTAAGGGATGGGACACACCCTGAATGGTTATCCCAAGGGCGTACGATCCTGATCCTGAAGGATCCCTCAAAGGGTGCAGTCCCATCCAACTATCGGCCAATAACCTGTCTCTCCACAACATGGAAGCTCATGTCAGGCATCATTGCGGCTAAGATAAGTGGGCAGCACAGAAGGGCATCGGCAAAAACACCAGGGGAGCCAAGCACCAACTCCTGGTTGACCAAACAGTCGCCCGCGACTGCAGAACCTGTAAGACCAACCTGTGCGCTGCCTGGATTGTTTACAAGAAAGCCTACGACTCAGTGCCACACACATGGATCACTAAGAGCTTGGAGCTGTACAATATCAACAGGACTCTAAGGGCCTTCATTGCAAACTCGATGCAGTTGTGGAAAACCACCCTTGAAGCCAATGGGAAGCCACTTGCACAAGTGTCCATCAAATGTGGCATATACCAAGGAGACTCACTGTCCCCACTGCTGTTCTGCATAGGTCTGAACCCCCTCAGCCAAATAATCGACCGCACTGGCTATGGATACCGACTCAGAAATGGGGCCACCATCAGTCACCCCCTCTACATGGATGACATCAAACCGTACGCTAAGAGTGAGCGAGACATCGACTCACTGATCCACACCACAAGGATCTACAGCACAGACACTGGGATGTCATTTGGGCTTGAGAAATGTAGCAGGATGGTGATAAAAAGAGAGAAGGTAGTCCACACAGAGGGGGTCTCACTCCCAGAGGGAACAATAGCAGACGTTGAGGACAGTTACAAGTACCTTGGTATCCCACAAGCAAATGGCAACCTCGAAGAGGCAACAAGGAAAGCGGCTACGGCCAAATACCTGCAAAGAGTGAGGCAAGTCCTAAGAAGCAGCTCAATGGCAAGAACAAGGTGCAGGCAATTAACAGCTACGCCCTGCCAGTGATCAGATACCCTGCAGGAATTGTAAGCTGGCCAAAGGAGGAGATACAGACCACAGATTTTAAGACACGAAAGCTCCTGACCATGCATGGAGGGTTCCATCCCAAATCCATCCAAGATGAAACATCCAAGCTTGGATGTTTCATCCTGGACCGTGGTTGCCACACTAACTAGTCCTCGGCCTCCTTCCTTCCAGCTTGTGTACAGTCTCAGGGTGCTGGATTTGGGATGGAACCCTCCATGCATGGTCAGGAGCTTTCATATCAATCACATGACGAGATCGTGTGACTATAGCAAAAAGAAACAAAGAAGGTTGACCAACCATAAGGAAAGTAAAGGTTATGTATAGACTGACAGAACAGTAGCACATATGACATGTTCTAGATAGTTACGCATATGTGATGGACACACCTATCAAATATATGGACGTACAATAGGACACACTGGACCACAGATCAACACATCAAATACATTAAGGGATTGTCAAGAAAGTTTTAAAGATTTAAAAGTTTTGAAAGTTTCAGAGGAACATGAGATAATCCAAAATGTCATTTAGGCCCAAATGTTGTGTGGTCTTTAATGTTACAATCCAAAAGGTTTCTTTTTGAGACAACTGGCGGAGTCTATTTCCCCCTCTGAAGTGTAGAAGAACTACATCAATTACCATGACTTTTAAGAGGCTGAATTTGCACTGAGGGGAGGACTGAAAATCTAGAGCCATTGGGTAATTAGGAGTTTTACTTCTAATTGCATTTTTATGTCCACAAAAGTGATCCTTAAGTCTCCTTTAAGTCCGCCCTATATAAAAGCACCCACAGAAACAGTCCAAACGATAAACCACATGAATGGGATTACAGTTTGCAAAATGATAACAAGTGAGTATTTTTTGACCTGAAGAGTTTGTAAAGGATGAACTTTTGTTAATGTTGACACAGTGATTGCACCACACTGAAATGTACCAACTGGTTTAGGAAAAAATGTATTTTTTTTCTGCTGGGAGATAGTTTTTTTATCTTTAAAAATTGATCTTTTAAAGTCAGTGCTCTTCACACAGCGAATGATGGAGGTTCAGGGAAAACAAATGCCAGTGACTGGTCACTTTTGAGGATGTTCTGTTTTTTCTTTATAATGCCCTTGATGGCGTATCTAAGGTGACAGTGCCTTATAGAGCACAGTCACCTCACAGCAGCAGTGTCTAAGGCCACAGATGAGAAAGAGTGAGATAGACAAAGTGAGACAGAGAGAGAGAAAGAGAGAGAGGAGCAGCAGTGTCCAAGGCCACAGAGGAGAGAGAGAGAGTGCGATAAAGAAACAGAAAAAGAGAGAGAGAGGAGGGGGCGTTCAGTGTGACTGTGCAGGAGGAGGCCCAGATGACCGACACCACACTTTTATTCAGCTCAGTAATAATGTTCAGTTTAACAGTTTGATCACTAAAGCATTTTCTAACTGAATTTTGTTCACCAAGAGTCACAATGAAGCCCATGATCCTATTTTTCTCCTCCCATCTCCTTTTCCTCTCACATCTTTTTCCTCCCTCCCTTCCTCTCTCTCCCTCCTTCTCATTCTTCCCCTCTCCCTTCCTCTTTCACTCCCTCCCTCGCTTCCTCTCTCTGAACAGCCCTGCTCCTCTGTGTTGCCTCTGTCTCCTGTGCATACATTTACATAGATTAGCTTTAGCAGAGCTTTAGTCCTCTGCCTCTTGTCCAACAAGTGTCCCCAACATCACAGGACTCACATGTCCCTGTGCACCGCTCCACCGCACATCCAGGTCTTTTATGTACCAATAACAGGCTTTGTTTTCATGTTAGGGCTGCATTGTTTTAGCAATAAAGCAAACTGTGAGATCTGAGGGAAGACTGAAATATGACCTACTAATAGACTTGATAATACTGATACCACATCAATATATTATTATTATTATCATAATAATAATAACAATAATAATAATAATAATAATATTATATTATTATTATTATTATTATTATTATTATGTGTGTAATTCTCATGGGCGTATACTAGTCTTGAATATACTGAATGGGACTTTTTTAGTACCAGCACCTGCTCAAATGAGTGTCTAGTTTCAATGACTAAACTCAAATTGTGATTTCATTATGATATTGTACAGTCCTAAAGCGGCCATTTTGAAACATAAGCCTCATGTTTTTTTGTGTTTTTTTTTTTTTTTTTGGAAGAGCCAGAACCTGGTCAGTGTAATCAACTCAAGAGGCATAATAGTCTGTAGCAGTAGTAGTAGTAGAATAATAGAACTAGTAACTAGTAGTAGTAATAGTAGTAGTTGTTGTAGTAGTAAAGTTGTATAATAGTGGTAGTCAAAATAATAGTTGTAATAGTAATAGTAGTAGGCTGATCGCAGTAGTGCAGCATTATTATTAATGGTAGTAAAAGTAGTTCTTGTTGTTGTTGTTGTTGTTGTTGTAGTAATAGCAATACTAGTGCAGCATAAATAGTAGTAGTTGCAGTAATAATAGTAGCAATAGTAGCAATAGTAGTAGTAGTAATAGTAGTAGTAGTAGTAGTAAAAGTAATAACAGTAACAGTAGTATTGTTTGTAGTAGTAATAGTAGCAAAAGTAGAAGCAGTAATAGGAGTAGCAATAGTATTAATAACAAAAGTAGTAGTAATAGTATAAAATAGGGATTTAATTGTACTTGAACAACAGTGAAACATCACAATAATGTATTAATTATTTGAGTAGTAGTAGTAGTACCTGTTCCCTCTACTGTCCAGAAAAACAAGAAGATCATCTGTGTCCTGACCACAGCCTGCTCACTGGACAGAGTATAAACAGGAGAGCAGATGGACACAGGTGCAGAGGAGGATTAGCCCTAAACTGTAGATTACACACAGACTGAGGCCTGCTCTGGACCTGCTCTGGACCTGCTCTGGACCTGCTCTGGACCTGCTCTGGACCTGCTCTGGATCTGGACCTTTGGACCTGGACCTCGGGACCACAGACTGACCAGCTTCATGTGAATTTGAAACATGAGAACTCCCATTAGACTCCATCCAGGTGGCCGGTCCAGTGTGTCTCACCCTGGGCTATGTGTTGTTTGGATCTGTCCTTTCACAGTATTACAGTATTAGTACTGTAGTATTTGTATGAGTATTAGAGCCATATCATATATCAGCAGTGTGGCTCTAGTCACAATAGGAATAGGAAGGTGGCTAATTGCACACTTTTGAGGATTACTGATTTCTCCTTCCTCTCTTCTCTCTCTCTTTCCTGTTCAGCTCACATCTCCAGATCTCCATCATCATCATCATATCTACCATGTTTTTAAGTACAACACTTTAACATTATGCTTATGTTTATAGACTACAGTTAGGTGATAACAAGCCTCTCAAACCTTTACAGCGAAACTGTCACATCACATCCGTTCTTCTGCCTAAAACTAGTAACAAAACTAGATCTTCATTTTTAGTAGAAGAGCACATAGACTAGTATGGAGCACTACGGAACCTACTGCACCACTGAGCATCACACACATAAAAAACTAAGTTCTACCATTTACTGTCGAAAGTCTTTTTGTTATCACGGTGGAATCCGTGAGCGAGTCTCTTCCTCAGTATCGACAGTCAGATTGAAATCCATCCCTTCCTCACCTGCTCAACTTTTCCGGGTAACGTGTCGGTGCTGCAACGGGAAAAGCGCACGCCTCTCCCCGGGTCTCTCTGAGGACGCGGCCGCTGCTCCTCTCCGCGACTCTGGCCCCTGTCTCCCTCCGCACCGCCACCGGTCTCCTCCCCCGGGGACGCCCCTCTCTCTCTCTCTCTCTCTCTCTCTCTCTATCTCTCCCTCCCACCTCTCCCTCCCTCCCTCTCTCTCCCTCTCCTTCTCTCTCTCACTCTCTCGCTCTCTCTCCCTCCC